ATGCTGTTGCAGGTGATTCTTTACGTAGTTTTCGGGTGTGGGTGTGGGGTGTGGATGTGGGTGTGGATGTGGGTGTGGGTGTGGGTGTGGGCGTGGCTGTGAGTATGGGGTGTGAGTGTGAGTGTATTGAAGGTAGTACCCACATCCATACCCCACACTTTTAAGGCGTGTAAACGCGTTCGAAAACCAAAATGCGTGTAAACTGGTTCCTGCTGAAAACGCATCAATATACGTTTTCTGGCTTTTCCACTCATGATACTGTTATGTGATAAATACGTTTATTTTAGTCTCAAAAAAAGTCAGAAAATCATCATCGCTTTGTGTCAGAACCAAACTGGAGTTTAGCATTCAGACTTCATCACTATTATTAAAATATAATTAAATTAGACTTGATTTAACAGATTAATTATATATACCCCTGGAAAGTAAAAGCTGGACATGGTATTTCGAATCTATTGACGCTTGAGAAGGACATTTTGGAAAACTTAATTATACCATTTGATAGCCCTTGGAATTCTCTATCACCCTGTCTATTTTTGTCTTCGTTTACAGTTAAACATTACCAAAATAAATTGAGTGCAATGAAGGTACCCTTATGTCCAGATTCTCACAGACTGGATTTTTTCTCTGCCATCAAAATTAGTCTTTCAGATTTTTTTATCACTATGGTGTTATCTTTTTTAAAAGTAATTATACATTCTGATAGAGCTTGAAATTCTCTATCAGCCCATATATTTATCTATTGCCTTATATTTGTTTATTGAAAAATAATTTGAATAGAATGAACGGTCCCTCAATCGACAAGTATGAAAAATCTGCAGTTTTTCTCGCTACTTAAATTCAAGACAATATATTAATATATATGATGATAGAGAATTTCAAGCTCTATCAGAATGTAAATTTTTTTTTTGGAAAAAGTTATTCCTATACGAAAATAATTTGCGAAAGAAACTAAAAAAAACAACGAAAAAATGCGGATTTTGTATACTTGGCAATTGAGGAGGCGTTCATTGTATTCAAATTATTTTTCAGCAAACAAATATAAGGCAATAGATAAATATATGCGCTGATAGAGAATTTCAAGCTCTATCAGAATATATAATTACTTTTTTGGAAATGTATTTTTATAGCTGGAGAACTAGTTGAGGAGACAAAATCCAATCTGTGAGAATCTGGCATAAGGGTACCTTCATTGCACTCAATTTATTTTGGTAATGTTTAACTGTAAACGAAGACAAAAATAGACAGGGTGATAGAGAATTCCAAGGGCTATCAAATGGTATAATTAAGTTTTCCAAAATGTCCTTCTCAAGCGTCAATAGATTCGAAATACCATGTCCAGCTTTTACTTTCCAGGGGTATATATCAGTACGCCTATGATAATGGATTGTTATCTGCAGATCTTTTTTTTGAAAATATTTAATTTTTATCGAAATTGCATGCCTCGCTCTACATTACTTCTAAAATACTTAAGAATAAGTAGACGACAGATTCTAATCTTAAAGTTGTTGCCCACTTCATTATTTATTTCTAGACAAACAAATAAATCATTTGAATATGATATTTTTATTTCTAACTACTTTATTTTATCGAAATTTCACAAGTGCTTTTGCAAATAGAGTTGTTGGCTTATCTTCATTATGCTCTACAATAAAATGACTCGAAATGAAACTTTTAGATTCATGCAATAAAAATAAATACATTACGGAAATTTATTACTTACAAACATAAGAACAAACAATTTTTTTAAATTTATGCTTTTAAAAAAAAGATAAATGAACATTTTATTTATAAGAAAAGAGAACGTTAAATGAAAATGACGGTTTACTTTGAAATAAAAACCTAATATTTTATTTTCTCCCAGATAACTAAAAAAATTTTGATATCATAATCACAAAAAATTACGTAGATAAGAATGTTTGCATATATTTTTTCTTCTAGTATCTTCACTTTTTATTAACATTTCGATATTGAGGTGCTCGTAGAAAGAAAAAAAATATATATTAATGCCTTTATATCACATATTTATATATTTATTCGTCACAGAGCGAGATTTTTTTTATTCTGTAATGTTTATTGTTTTTAATATAAAAAAATTTATTTCTTTATTTACATTATTTTCTAAATATCAAGAATATATTTATCTTGATTTTTTTTCCATAAATATATTATTTATATTTATTTCACGAAGTCAAAATATAACAGCTCTATTCGCAAAGTTGCAACAAGTAGTGTTATACGAGCTAATGATGCGATTAATGCACATAGAAACAAGTTCGAGTTGTGTTTAGTTCAAAGCTAATTGTGTTCGACTCGTAATCGACTGTTCTTGTGTTCAAATCTTTGTTCAAGCTGTGATTGAAAAAATTACCCCTCTGTTACTCACAGGATTTGTGTTATATCATAGCTCGCTGTGGTGCGTCGGTTCGATTCCGACACAGAGTGATGGTTATTTTTTGATTTTTTTGGGAGCGAAAAATAAACGCGCCACAACGCGTTTATCTCCTACTACATTCAAACGTAGCGAAATCCGAAGATGCGTTTGTGCACTGTAAATGTGTTCAGAGACCCGAAAATGTTGCATTCTCAATGCGTTTCAACACGTCAAGTTGAATAAGTCATAGAAGCTCAGAGACGCGTTCAAGATCGAAAAACGGTTACCTGGGCGAGAGGAGAAAAGAAAAGGATAATGAGACAGAAGAAGGTGAGAAAAAGAATGGAGAATCAGTAAGTGCCTTCTTATTTTGTGCTATAACTCAGATTACTGCTATTATCTTTGATTATAACAGAAAAAAAACGAAACATGGTGAAAACAAAAGAGCTACAACAATACGCGGTTCAATTTTTAGCAGAGTGTTTTGCAACATGTGTTCTCATACTCATGGGCGAAGCTGCTATTGCTAACTATAAATTTACCAAACAGCCTTCACATTCTACACTTCCAATTGCTATTGCGTTTGGGATCGGCGTCTACTCAGGTAATATTGATAGAAACAAGGAGAGAAATTAGACCAGCATCTCCATTGATAATTTTTCAGACACTATAATAAAATCAATTTTCTTTTCGAAAAGTGCCCTTCAATGTTTGATCAATAGCATTCTCTTTCCTGATCTATTGCTTCTCTAAAATGCCCAGGTGAATGAATCCGATACTGGATCTGGTCGGATCTGATCGAATCCGACCAGTCGACAAAATCCTACGGAAATCCGGGTTGCGGAACCACTAATCCGATCCGATGGGCTAATCCTATTATATTAGTTAACCCAGGTCAAAAAATCTGACAGTAAATCTTGTACGATCATATGAAATCGTACAAAAAATCGTAGTCTCTGAAATCTTACATCAATTCTTACTATAAGATTCCTGTAAGATCTGGCAAGACAACAAGATCTGCCAAGAATCTTACAATAAGAATTGATGTAAGATTTCAGAGACTACGATTTTTTGTACGATTCATACCAAATCGTGCAAGATCATATATGATCAGACGCAGAATCTTATCCGATCTCAGTGGCCGATTTTTCGCCCTGGGTCGTCGTCTCTGCAATCTTACGCAAGATCATACTATAAGATTCTTGGAAGATCTTGCCATCCGATAAGATATTACTATAAGATTATAGAAATTCTTATGTGGCAGTAAGAATACGATCTTGTGTAAGATTGCAGAGACGACGATTTTTTGTACGATTTTGTCTAATCTTACAAGATCTTACGTCTGCTTTTTTGACCTGGATATATTTCAAGCACGACATTGATGTCCATCCAAATGAAATTGATTTATTGCAAAGACTTACTTGATTTGTCTTTAAGATCGCAATAAAATATGATTTTATCTTTCTTATTGAGTAATGAGAAGCTGAAGGAATTATAATTTATAATAACTGCCGTTGTCAATCGTCTGCTAAGGAATCTGCCAATTCATTAATTAATGAATTACCTTATAGTGATTTATTATCTTGCGAGTTTTTCTATAAAAACGTAATTACATAGAGTTTCCTAACAAAACAGTGTCGATAGAGAAACAAGTGAAGCAATAATTTATGAGTAAAAGGTTACCATCAAAAAATTTTGTCTCTAGAATCTGAATTGATCTGGCATATAAGAATTATCAGTTACAACGAACTAAATCGTCACATGGCAGAACATTTTGTCAAGGTGAATAATAATCAATACTATATAGTAACTTCGAAGAGTAATTGTATACTAATTTTAAGTAATTTGTTAGTTAATGATTTAGTGTCACTAATCTCTATTTTTACTTATTTCTGTTAAGAATCACAACTTGAAGAAACCTAAGTATGACAATAATACATTTGATCGACCAACCATTTTTTATCTGATTTTAGTAACTTCATGAAAATAATCTTTTTTTATCCTTGCTTCTGTCCACCATTCTAGCCTTACTTCATCGGGACAAAGCGAATACACATCGGAACACAGAATATAGACTGCAAAGAAGTACAGTTTCTCAACATAAATCAAATCCATCATTCTTTGTTTTCTAATACGTAAAACATATATCTATTGATTTGCTTTCTTGTTGTTTCTAGCACTGATGCTTGGTGGACCAATTACTGGTATGAGAAAGACTTATCACTACATTTAACAGAATTCAAGATTGCTTATTCTAGGTGCACATCTCAATCCAGCTTTGAGCATATCGTTAATGACTGTTCGCAAACTGAAACCATTACAATGTATCTTCTATGTTATTGGCCAAATATTGGGTGCATTTTTCGGAGGTGCCCTCGTCTATCTTGTCTACTTGAAGCAATTCGATGAATTCGATGGTGGTAAACGACAAATGACAGGTCCCAATGGTACAGCTGATATTTTCTTTACGATGCCGGCGAAAGGTACACCACACTGGAATGCGTTGGTCGATCAGATTGTCAGTACTGCTGTTCTGATGATCTTTATCATGGCAGTTACGCATGTAAGAGAGTAGCTTGGAATAGATGAGTAATTGATAAGTCATTTTATGTAGAAATTTAATCAGATGATATCAGAAGCAGCCAAACCATTTGCATATGCGCTGATCGTTACGGGCATTATTTGTGCATTTTCACTTAATGCTGGAGCTGCAATTAATCCTGTATGAAAATTGTATATGTTACTTTGCAAAGTATAATTCTCTTTGTTTTCTATGCTTTAGGCTCGTGATCTGGGTCCACGTCTTTTTGGAGCATTTGTCTATGGTTGGAATGAGGTATTTCGTGTACATAACTATTTCTTTTGGGTACCGATTGTCGGTCCGATTGTCGGAGCTATTGTTGGTGTGTGGCTTCACCAAGGTTTTAATTGGATAGTGAAGCACTATGGCTATCTTCACAATATTCAAGATAGTGATTCCGATAAAAAGATCGATTCCAAAGACATACAAATAAAAGAGAATGATTCATTAGAGTATGGACAAAAGTTCATAACCGTAAACGAATAAATGAAAATTGTATAATTACTTAGACCAAACCAAAAGTTCTCTCGGAGATCCCTGATATTCGAATAGTAAGCTAAAAGAAGTTTCCCTTTTTTATGAAGTGACAGAGAAAACGAAGCTCTAGTTTTCTATGCCATTTGATCATACCGCAACTAATATCATGTTAATAAAACTTGGATAAGAACTGTTTTTGTGTTAAACTTGAGCTTGTTTAATAAAATAATGGGTGTGGGCATTTTTGAAATAACTCAAGAACGAAAATAGTTAGAGAGCTGCAGTTTTCATCGTTCGAAAGAGAAGATGAAGATGCACCAAATTGTATATTATTCTTGTTCCTAGCGTATTGTCTAAAGTTTGTTTAGTCAATTTTCTAAGTGGAGAAAAATGGTTTCTTATCAAAAAGGAAACAGCAAAAAAACTTGATTTTTACAGAAATTGCCAGAAAAATCACTTATAGCTTCGACGAGTATACCTATAACTTCCGAATGATCAATTCTAAATATTTGAATCTTGTGCAGATTTTAGACCTCCCTTAGCAGTGTGTGGGTGTGGGTATGAGTGTAAGATTCAAAGAACATTCGCATCTGCACCCACACCCTTCCACTAACACACCCACCTTCTACTAGGGTGGTTTCTGATCGCGTACGCGAATATAATAGCCATTTCTTTTATGAATTCAATATGATTTTATTTGAGAGGAAGAAAAAAAGTAATCATCATTTTGAGTTTTATCTGATAGAGAATCGTTGAATACGTGCATTCCAAGGATCGACAACATAGAGATCGCCATGTCGATCAAATGACAAAGCCATGAGTTTCTTGAACTGATTTGGTCCTTCTCCGAAACCATTTCCACCAACAATAACAGTGCCTTGTGTTGCACCTTTAGGCCAACGCATCACTTGATTATTCCCAAACTCTGCCACAGAGATGGTACCCAATGTATCAACGAACAGTCCCTGAGGAAACGCCGATTATGTCAGAGCATTCCCTTCGCCTTGACCTCCAGCGACGACAACTCCTTCTGTTGCACCTTTACTCCATTTCATCACACGATGATTCTCGTTGTTCAACACGTAAACAGTCTGTTGTCGATGGACAAAGACGGAAGTCGGATAGTTGAGTTGATTAAGACTCGTACCCTTGTGATTGTCACCGACCACGAGAGTTCCATTCTTGTCTCCTATTTTATATCGTCTTACTTCATGTTGACTACTGTCAGAGATATAGAGATATCTCTGATCATTCATGGTCAATCCTCGGCAAGCGAGGTTGTCGAAGAGGGTTTCTCTTTGAGTTGTACCACCACGACGAGATCATCTTACGACTTGTCCAAACCCATGATTACAGATAATGAGACTATTCGTCTTTTTGTCGATCAACACATCGGTTGAAAAATTTATTTGATTCATCAGATTTTCTAAGTCATTGCCACTACCAACGACTTCTCCATTTGTATCACCTATTTTTCATTGGATAATACGATACTTGCCCGTGCCAGCAATGACTATCGTTTGATCATCGTCAACGAAGAAACCAAAGGGTTGGTTGAGGTGATTGGTGGCATAATCTGTTGCATGACCACTAGCAACAGTAATCCCATTCTGTGTTCATCGAGCATCGACTGGAATATTGGGAATCACTACAATGAACGAAAAACAAAAATGGAATCGCCGTCATCGAGGAGACCCTTTTCTCTATCTCACGAAATAGTTTTCAAGAATGTCCTTGTCTCGCATACTCTAAACAAGAAAAGTTTCTCCAAGTAGATATACATTAGGAAATCTTTTTCTAGCGTCCCATAGTAAAAAGAACGTCGTAACGATTCTTATAGTTATACCTTTTTCTCGCATCTCAATCTTGTTCATTTCTTGAGACACCTAAGTAGAATCTATGACAATCTATGTTTGCAGGAATTTGTTCAAGTTCTTGTCAAGATCTTTCAAATTCTAAGAAGTAGAATCTTCGCGGTAGATGCAAGCAACACCTGGAGAAAGACCAATGCTAATCCTCTTCAGGATCTCGATAGAAAAACAGAGGGATCTGAATCGTAATGGTGAATGAAGAATCTTTACAAGGTTATATGAAGGAATACTAGGAAGCTTAAATCGTTGAAGAGTTCAAGCAATGAAATAATGAACTCTAACAGATTCATAAACTGAAAAAACTCTGAGAAGATTTCAACAAGAACTTTTAACGAGGATGTCAACAATGAGAATTTTGAATTCTTGGGAAAACAAATGTGCATCGTCCACAGTATGCATCTTTCAGAATGATTTTACGTAGTTCTGACCAAATTCATTTTGGCATAGAGGATTCAGGCGAAATTTTGTTAGGTTTTTGCCAGCTTATTTGAAGCTATTCGAAGGACGACTATGATGCAGTATTAGCAAGATCATGAAAAGGTTTTTTTTATGCATTCGAAATTGAGGAAATGCGACAAGATTTCATGATGGAATCTTTGGAATCGGACGCCTTCTACTTTGAGATGCTAACAAGACTTATGCTAGTCTTTTCGGAGCTCTCGATCGGAAAACATAGGGATTTGTGGATATTATCCGTAATTTCGAAAGGGTGGATCTTAATGTGATAGTCTGAAAGAGTTCTACGAAACCATTATCAAGTTACCGTGAAAATTAGCTCCAGATCATTTTATTAGGATCTTACCGGATGTCACAAACGTTTTGCAACATTTTGTGTTTTGAATAGATTGCAGTTCAGTCAAAAGATAAAATTTTGAATATATTTTTGACAGATACGTAAATCAATTCTCTACCAACTTGTATCAATCTTAACTTAAAATAATAGTGCTGAATGTTTTTAAAGATTAAATAGTTTGATCATATGCATTGGATTTATTTCCTATGCAATTTGTTTTAGTAAATTATTTTTTCTATACGAACGAATAGTTTATTTAAAAAAAAACCAGATTTTTAAATAGTTCTTCAATACTTCGGAGAATCGCATATCTATTTAACATGTATACGCTTATGCGATTCTGTTTCGGTGTCTGATAGGAGATGTGGGTGTGGGTGTGTGTGTGAATGGGTAGGTGGGATGGGGGTGTGGATGGGTAGGTGGGATCGGGGTGTGGATGGGTGGGTGTAGTGTGGATGCGGGTGTGCGTGCGGGTGTAGGTCTGGGTCTGAATTAAGTTGCAGCCTGATATCCACCACCACACTCACACCCTTACTCTGATCAAAATTCTGTTTTTTTTAGCTGACAGAAATTAAAATTTTTTACTAGTACTTAAAACTAATAAACTGATTATTGTACAATTATTATTGCTAATTTTAGTACTGATCGTTTAATATTTATAGTGATCATTTACATATTTTTTTACTGATCATATCATCTATTATACTGATCACTTAAATGGTAGCCATATTCAATCATGTATTGTTTTTTTTATTCTTTTTGTTTTCATTATATAATCTGCAAAACGTTAAAATGTTTATTCGTGCCGACATGAAAAACAAAATAATTTCATTAGCTCTAAGAAAAGTCGGTCCTCAAATAAATCAGTAACAGATTCTTAATACGATAAGAATTAAAGGAGAAAATATCCTGAAAACTTTTCTGATCTGGCAAGTATTGGAAACATGAAACGAAAATATACAATGATAACTATGCTACATCACAAGTAAATTAGAGCTAACTTTTAACTTCGAGAAAAATAATACATAAATGCGTTAAACAACCAGATAATAGAAACAAGCATCAACTCATACACATATATGAATATCATATTTTTTATCATTGTTAAAAATTGACTTGCCATGCTGCGAAGAAATCAGAGTGGTCCTTAAATAAGTTTTCACATCTGGTGTGTTCATTTAATAGAAATAATCGGTAGAGCCTGGTGATTTCTAAAATAAGGATGTGGGAGTGGGAGGATGTGAATGTGGCTGTGGGTGGGGTGTGGGTCTGGGTGTGGTCGTGAGAGAAGAGAAGGTAAACAGCTACACAGACACCCATATCCACACCCACAACCACCCCACATTTCAACACTTACAGTAAATATACGATTTCATTGGGTGTTTCTAAAAAGTATACTTTCGTCAGAAAAAACAGTCAATCAAGTATCTCACAAACATGCAGACGGCAGATTTGCATCTCGCACAGCATTGAAGTTGCCCCAAAACACTCATCGATTTAATTGTGAAACATAACATATAATTCGTGTTTTTATTTGAGCAATAGCTGAGATCTCGGAGACAAAATGTTTCGATTAAGAAAGGCTGTCATTGATTTCTATTTGGGAGATATTTAGGGTTAGAAACGATTTTCACTACTGTCATTGAACACTATAAGCATCCAGACGAGAGAAGTCTTCTTATTTATCTTATTCGTCGGTCAAACTTCAATAAAAATATGATTTCCATGGTCAGTGGGATGAGATACAATTTGGCTACATGTGAAGATAAAAAGTTTTTCAACCCATATGATCCTACCAGACCCTTGTACCTGAGATACTACTCCTAGGGTCGGAAAAAATTTTCCATATCAGATTCAAGCATATTATCTCTTATTCGATAGATCTCAACACTCTGATCACAAAAATCATATTTTTATTGAAGTTTGATCGAATAATAAGAAAAATAAGAAGACTTCTCGGGTCCAAGTGCTTATAGTACTCAATCACAGTAGCAAAAATCGTTCCTAGAGCTAAAGATTCATCAAAAAGAAAACAATTTCAGGCGTTTTTCATCAAAACAACGTCTCTCAGAGGTCACAATTACTTTTAAAATGAAAACACGGGTTATTCCTTCTATTTCGTAATTAAATGAATGGATGTTTTGAAGCTGTATCCATGTTTTGTCAGCTGCAGATCTGCCTCCTAACTGCTGGTCAAATACCGGGTTTAATATTTTTCCTGATGAAAGTATGTTATTCAGAAAGAGTCGATCAAATAATGTATTCACTATAAGTATTGAAGTGGATGGAAGCTCTTTTATGGAATTACGCTCTATACAGTCTTGGTGAGCTGTTATATGTAACAG